CATGTCAAACAATGTAATTATCCACTGCATCAAACTAATTTAAGATTAACAACTTATGCCCAGATTTTTACATCTGATATAGGGAAGGCATCCAATGGTGCTAAGATCCTTCCTAAACAATCGTCCTTGCAAGGAAAGCAGCAAAAGCAAAGAGTGCATTAACATTTGAATAACAATGCTGACTCTGATTCACTATAATAATAAAAAGACAAATACTTTTCCTGTAGGGAATCCACAGCCTGGATCGTCCAGAGCCCTACACCCACAACCCGAACTTGCCAGAGCTTTATCGCAGCAGCAGCCAATCCCTTCCGCTCTGCACCACAGAGCTCTGTCACCCCAGCCGGGTCCGTCATGTCCTCGTCCTAGAACTCAGTCACCTCAGCCGGGTCCTTCCTGTTTACACAAGAGGAAATAAACTTAAAGATAACATTGACGATGATGTTGTGGAAATGCCGCACATTATTTTCCAGAATAAACACTCTCAAGGAGCATGCGTAATGTTGGGTTTAATTTCCCGATCGAGATCAGCCAGTTCCCTCTGAATACCTCTACAGAAGCGAAGAATATTTCGCTGACATTCTTCAAACTCATCGTCGCACTCTCGGATGCCTCCTGCCGCTGCCAAGGCGTTCGCGGGGTTAACACTCGTACTCACCAAGACAGACCTCGCATTGGGAGAGATCAGAGATATAGGAAAAAATATGACACTGCATAGTTGTATCATTTCTAATAACAACGAATGGAGAACAGTACGAGGGTGGAGGGAGATGGAAGCCACACTAGAAGAGTGAATAAGTGACGAGGGGAGTGGTCGCGATCTGGACGACATTATTCCTACAGCTCACAACATTACAATATCCCAAATTCTTGTTCCTAAAGATACTGGGAGATACGTGGGCGGAAACATATTTTCAACCCCGTCGGGAACACACACTGTCGTGTGATCCATTGCTTCTGGAAAATTGGTAGCAGCTGAAAGATACAGAAGAAATCTGTAGAAAAAAGGTACATCAGATATGATGTTCAAAATCTCCATACCAGCTGGAAAATACTGGGACCATTGGAGAGGGACAACAAACTCTCGCTCTATGCTTATAGTCTGCCAAATTCATCCACTTGTCGAGAAAATAACAAATATTTCCTTATACAAGTGAGAAAAGGAAAAGATGGTAAGAGTGACTGTTCTGTCATCTACTTCTACTCGAAAATGAGCACGCATGTCTCATTACAAAACCCGGATTTATGCTCTGTCCCTTGTAGTTTTTTTTTGTGAATGTTGTTACATGCAGATGGCTCCACATGTGCTCAGACGGCAAGGAGTCTATCAGTAGGCCTTAGTGACCCATCCTGATTTCCACACTCCTTAAATTGGCGGGAAAATGTGTTTTTCATTTTAATCCAATTGATATCAATACTGTTATCATTTTTGATGTTATGATTGCTAGATTGTTATTAGGTAAACAGGTGAGATAGGTAGGATTAATAACTGACACCTTGGTGACAGCAATTGTAGAGCCATCTATCCGTAAATACAATAAATAAACTTATATTACAGCGGACATGGCATGTATTCTTGCCATACGTGAAGATTGGGTTAATTGTTATATCGATTCACTTTCTTACAGAGGCAGAAACACTGGCAGACATTTCTGCCGCAATTGTTTCTCAACCTTCTCGAACAAAACATTGGCAGAAAACTACATGTTAAAGTGCAAAGCGCCCGTGCAGATTACATACCCACCGCCAGGAGCAAGCTTTTCTTTATTAATTATGAAAAAAAGCCTGCAGCCGTCGCACATCTGCATTAACGACTTCGAGGTGTGCATGGTTAAATCTGAAGGATGGGGCAGATGTGTATCACAACATAAGGCTTTTGGCTATGGTTTCTTTATCATTGATAGAAGAGATGATATCGCGCATAGCTTTATATGTAAAGGAGCTGATGGTGATACTCAACACAAAGACGTGTGAAATGTCACCAGAAATTACCTTATTAAGAGCAGAATCACAGACATCATGACCACAATAAACATAAATACATGTGCATGTTGCAACATTCAAGTGAAAAACAACCGCAGAAAAATGCGGTTGTGGTGTTCAAGAGCGGCAGTTTAATCTCCCTTGCCAAAACACTCATCGACAGCAGGCATCCGTTGAAATGCTTCAACCACCTCTTGCAGAATATGACAAACATAGCTCAGTTCCATTTTCACACCGTACTTCCCCTCAGTGCTGCAACAGAAGACATATATAGGGCATCTGTTGATAGATACATATACAACTCTCTCTCTCTGTATACATACATACATACATATATATATATATATATATATATATATATATATACATACACACACATATATACAGATATATATACATATGTTTATATATATATACATACACACACACACACACACACACACACATATATATACATATGCATTTGCACAGCATATATATATATATGTATACATATATATATATATATATATATATATATATATATATATATATATATATATATATATATATATATATGTATATATACATATGTATGTATGTATATATATATATATATACACACACATGTATATGCTTATATATACATGTTTTTATATATGTATAAATGTATGTATGTATATATGTATATATATAGTTATGTACCATCTTTTCCTTTTCTCAGTTGTATAAGGAAATATTTGTTATTTTCTCGACAAGTGGATGAATTTTGCAGACTATAAACATAAAGCGAGAGTTTGTTGTCCCTCTCCAATGGTCCCAGTATTTTCCAGCTGGTATGGAGATTTTGCACATCATATCTGGTGTACCTTTTTTCTACAGATTTCTTCTGTATCTTTCAGCTGCTACCAATTTTCCAGAAGCAATGGATCACATGACAGTGTGTGTTCCCGACGGGGTTGAAAATATGTTTCCGCCCACGTATCTCCCAGTAGCTTTAGGAACAAGAATTTGGGATATTGTAATGTTGTGAGCTGTAGGAAGAATGTCGTCCAGATCGCGACCACTCCCCTCATCACTTATTCACTCTTCTAGTGTGGCTTCCATCTCTCTCCACCCTCGCACTGTTCTCCATTCGTTGTTATTAGAAATGATACAACTATGCAGTGTCATATTTTTTCCTATATCTCTGATCTCTCCCAATGCGTGGTCTGTCTTGGTCAGTACGAGTGTTAACCCTGCGAACGCCTTGGCAGCGGCAGGAGGCATCCGAGAGTGCGACGATGAGTTTGAAGAATGTCAGCGAAATATTCTTCGCTTCTGCAGAGGTATTCAGAGAGAACTGGCTGATCTCGATCGGGAAATTAAACCCATCATTACGCATGCTCCTTGGGAGTGTTTATTCTGGAAAATAATGTGCGGCATTTCCACAACATCATCGTCGATGTTATCTTTACTGTCGCTATAGCCAAGTTTATTTCTTCTGGTGTAAACAGGAAGGACCCGGCTGAGGTGACTGAGTTCTAGGACGAGGACATGACGGACCCGGCTGGGGTGACAGAGCTCTGTGGTGGAGAGCGGAAGGGATTGGCTGCTGCTGCGATAAAGCTCTGGCAAGTTCGGGCTGTGGGGGTAGGGCTCTGGACGATCCAGGCTGTGGATTCCCTACAGGAAAAGTATTTGTCATTTTATTATTATAGTGAATCAGAGTCAGCATTGTTATTCAAATGTTAATGCACTCTTTGCTTTTGCTGCTTTCCTTGCAGGGACGATTGTTTAGGAAGGATCTTAGCACCTTTGGACGCCTTCCCTATGCCAGATGTAAAAATCTGGGCATAAGTTGTTAATCTTAAATTAGTTTGATGCAGTGGATAATTACATTGTTTAACATGCGCCAATGGATTTGTATTATATGTTTTATTGTGAGATAGATTTACCTTACCTTGATAACAGCATTGTTGGTGATGATGCATTCTTGTGTTGATAACACCCGGGCAGAGCAAGCAAAGATGATTTTCGGTCAGTTTTTGACCACAATATTGGGAGAAACGAACAGTTCGAGCCATGGTGAGCACTTTCCCAGAGATGACGTTAATGTTTAGGCAGACTATTTCCCACCTTTTATATCGAGGACGATTACACATCGGTTACAGTTGTGCATATTTTGATTTAGTAAGTGTGTGCTCTTCTAATCATTTAGGAAAAGAAGAGTATGTGCAGAGTTATACAAGAGTAATAACATTCATATAGTTGTATTATTTCTTGTAAAAGAATTGTCAGTTAATATATAAACTGATGTATAATGTTCAGCAACGGGCGAATAACTTCCTTATGGATGTATGTGTATGGCTAGGAGGGGTCTTCCTGTTATTAGGAAAGTGGCTGAGGTAGATGAGATTGTGGGGAGGGGGTTGTTTGGCATAAGGTTTTGGTTCAGGTCAAAATTAATCATATCTATTATATATACATTAGACGTAGTTACTTGATGTAGCATGCATACAAGGTCAGCAAAAGCGATTATCATTTATTGATGGCCATGCTACTAAACAGTTCATGTTATATCATGTTATGTACATTGGGTAAATATTGGGATCAATAAAAGCAATTATCATTTAGTACATGTCTGGTGCACACACAAGAAGGCAATTATCTACCTGTAACAGGCATCATCATGACCAGTTTATGTTACGCCATAAGATGTAATATATATGTATATATATATACATATATGTATATATATACATACATATATATACATATATATATGTATATATATATGCATATATATATGTATACACATGCATATATATATATATATGTATATATACATATATATAATATGTATACATATATAATATATATTACCTAGTTATTTAGACCAGCTACTGATATTGTGTTTTCCATCTCCCTTTAAGTTCTGTACAGTATTTACAATGTAAAGGATCATGCCTGTTTATCAGTATGGATAAATTATTCTCTGTAGCATTTAGAACTTTACTGAATTAGCTAAATGAAGTCTAACAGGCCAAAGATCCGGT